GTGGCTGTGCAATGACGTCAGCCAGTGCCTTCAGTACCCTCGGATGGAGCTCATCCGGGCCTGCCGACTTAAATGCATCCAGTTCCTCCAAGTGACTCTGCACCATCTCAGGGTCTACGCGTGGCAGTCTGGTGCCTTGCTGCTGCCTCTCTACAACCCCAGTGAGAGCCTTGTCCTGCCCCTCACTTAGGAACACTGAGGCAAAGAACTCGTTGAGGAGTTCAGCCTTGTTCCCCCTGTCCATCACCAATTGCTTCTGCCCATTTAGCAGGGGTCCTATTCCACCCTGGGCCTTCCTTTTACTCTCTATATATCTAAAAAACAATTTTTTTTTAGGTACAAAAAAACAAAACGCAGCTTTTGGAAATAAATTATAAAGTACAGTATCAGAGTAGATGCATACTTTAGCAATTTTTAAAAAAAGGTTTAATGCTCCTGAAAGAGGCAATGGAAATTAAAGGTTCCATCTATAATAATACTTTTTAGTCAGTCTTGACTTTGAAAAAACATCCTCGAAATACCAAGGTGCTCAATAGTCTGCATGCCCATTTGATCCTTTTTAACACCAAGAGGGTGACAATAATGACAATGGCTTGAGGACAACTCTTTAGCTAGTGATTAGACTAAGACCAATACATTAGACATAGGCTAACCAGACTGTTTTCCAACAGCAATACATTTATGTCATTATTACCATAAGTGGGCTAACTCCAGATTTTATTACCAGTCCTGTGAGCTACAGTTCTCCTTCCAAACTATGATGATTCCTCTGAAGTGCGTGTGAAACAAGAAGTAGGTTCTATTAAAAAAGCGTCATGCACCTACTAAAACAGGATTTCTCAACCTGTGGGTCGCGACCCAAAAGTGGATCACAAGAATATGTAAGGGTCACGAACAAATTTAAAAAATGGATAAACAAACTTGAAAAATGGATTCTCTTTTAACAGAGACAAACATGGGAAACCATAGCTTTTCCCTTGCAGACTGGCAGGGTTCCAGCCTGCAAGGGACTGCTTGGGGTCCCCCACCCCCTACCTGCCCCTCACACTGGGTGAGGAGCACTGGGTTAGAACTGGCCATCAATGTTTACAAATGGGTTCTAGTACAAAAAAAGGTTGAGGACCACTGTACTAAAAAGACATACCTTGATCATCCTTGCTGACTGCATCTGAACCTTTAACGGTATGCGATACAAATTCTGAATGGGATAATGCAGAACAAATAAGAGATTCAGTTTTTAAGCCTTTCTGGATTTTTCCTTCTTTGTATAATACTGTCTCATTCAATGTATAAAGAACATTTTTTGATCTCTTTTTCAGGCTAGATAGTATGTTTATGCTTTTCAAGCCTGATCTTGTAGAGCGGTCATCATTGCTTGTTGACCATTTTAGGCTATCGTGAATATTTGAAGTTGAAACATTATATAGAAAAGGGTGAGGGGCAGCATTAGTTATTGAAAATTGAGAAATTTCTTTTAAATGTTTGGGAAAGCAATTGTCACGAATTATAGAGTATTCTGCAAAGTTTGCAGTTTCCATGAAGGTTCTACAGTCAAAGCAGCTCACTTTGGAAATTGTTTCAGCTGCACATCCTTTCACTAAATTGAGATCCTGAACACTTACAGAGGCAGAGCACCTTGGAGAGGTTTCAGAAATTGAATTGTTTTCATACATTTTTATTTCATCATCCATGTTTTCTGAAAAATTGATATTCAACCATTTTTGTCCTTCCATTGTGTTTAGTAAAGGGGTTTCTAAAGTACTAAAGTTAGTACTTGTGTCCAAAGAATGTGCTAATTTGTCTTGTGAATTTTTCTTGTTATATAAATTAACTTGTGAACAAATATCAGATGAGGACTTCCTTTCCAACTCACCTGAATCAAGACTTGATAAATCCAGCTGAGACCATTCAGAGGTTAAGGAAGATGGCACATGTAAGTTTGTAAATTTCTGATTCTCAGAAGGCATCTGCATTCTATTATTTGATGCGTTAGCTGCAAACAGCTTACATCTAGGGAAATCCAATTCTCTTTCACGCTTCATTAAGCAAACATCTCTAAAGTTCCCTGTCACTCTATTGGTTTCTTGAAGTTCAGCAGCTTTCATTTTATCAAGATGCTTTTTCTTAGAATGAAGATCTGTTTTCACTTTCTGTAGATTTCCAGGTTTGCTACCAGTAAGACATATAGAAAGAACATCCTCCTCTCCATTTGGCATATCTTCTGTTGCTTCACATTTCTCTCCATCTTGCAGTGCATTAAATGCCAATAAGTTTACAGCTGCCTTATCTGGAATAGGAGATGGATCCTGGAAGCCGTTTGTTTCACCAAATGAGCCATCTAACACCTTCTCTAACTCTGTAAATAGTTAAAAAATGAACAGATTATAGAAGGCAGTAGTTTAAGAAACATTACTGTTGCACAATCCATAAATTGCAGGCATGGACAAACGAACTGTAGCAGCAGCAAAAAGGGAGGGGGAACGCTGCTGCTCAAGACAGCACAGCAGGTCTTCAACTGTAATTGCTACTTGTGCATGATCCTGTGTTGATACAAGTGAGCTAAAATACCCCACCTTAACCCTGCTTCACTCAGGGTCAAAAGTGGGAGCAATTTTGCTAGACTGGTGCACTTATGGACTGAAGTAGTGCTACCCCTCCCCTCTGAAACAACTCCAAGTATACGTTTGTCCTTATGCTGTTTCCCCAGAACCACTTTGGGATGCTCCAAAGAAGGCTATCCTCAGCAGCACTTTTCTTCAGTGGTTTAACTATGTTGCTATGGAGGGGAAAGGTGAAAATGGATATGTTCAGCTGTATTTTGCCTCCTGCAGTGATCAGCAAGTTTTGAAAATGAAAACCCTGCTTCTTCAATCAGCAGAAGGGAATGTGCCAATATCCCTGGAAAGGAAAACTGAGTAGAAAACTACAAATGAAATCTCTATTTTTTTCTCTATTGAAGTTATAACACATAAGGAACAATGAAGATCCTAAGAATAGTCAAAATTTTACTTTTTCTCCCTCTTTGGGTCTACTGTTTGTAGTTCACAGAGCATAATTTAAAAAAAGAAATACAGTATAGCCTCATAAATCCAGATATCAAATATCCAGAATTCTCAAAAATCCAGCACTTTTTAAAACTACATTAGATCGGGGAGTAGTGGTGGCCAGTCCCAGAGCAGTGGAGGGGGAAGTCTGCTCATGGTGGCTGCTGCCGCCACACTCCTCTCCACATGCAGCCACTGCTCCAGGACTGGCTGCTGCATGCCCCAACTCCAGGACCCGCCACCGCTCATTTAAAAAATCTGGAGTTTTTAAATTTCTGGCAGGTACTCAGTGCATGGGGGACTGGTGCCTCCTGATACTTGGGGGGGGCGGCACCAGTGGCCAATCAGTGACTGGGGGAGGGTTCCCCCCAGTGGCTGATCACCATCAGCAGACATGCCCCTAGCGTTTCTCTTGGCACCCCCACCATCTCGGGGGGGGGGGGGGGGGGGGGGGTGAGGCAGGCACGTACCCTCCCCCCCCAGTGCATCACCTATGGTCCCGAGCATGCCTGATTCATGAAGTTATACTGTACAGTGCAACCTAAGGGTGTCTAACATACAGCCCGAAGCCCAGATCCAGCCCATGGAGCCATTTCTTCTGGTCTGCTAGGCTTCTGGTAGGCCAAGTAATTTTGAGTGGGAGTTGGGGCCTGCCACAGAATTTGGGACTAGTGACCCTATTGGACATGGGTGCTGGGGGCGGGAGGCAGAAGAGGTGGTGGGGAGCAAGTGACAGCTCTGTCAACAGCTCTGCAGCTGCTTGCCCTGCTGCCTCCATCACCCATACTGTCATTGCTTGCCCCACTCTCCGCAAGGTCTGGAACTGGCCCAGGATGAGTTTGACACCTCTGGTCTAACATGACTGTCCTCAATGCAAAATGTGACAGCATTATAAAGGGATTAGGAAGACCACCCTTAGCCTTCTTTTTATATAAAGCATTAGGATGGTCTAACAAGTTCACAAACCATTGCTATATAAACATTATTGTTATAAAACAGTTCATCTTTTTTGTTTACAGAAAGATTATAATCTAATATTATCATCACATTGCACCATTTAGATGCGTATTCATGTATTATACAATGGTTTTTTTTTAACACCACCTAAATACTGACAACTCATATTTATCAAGCATTAAAATTGAAAATGTTGCTTCTGTGATGGAATATTTCCATCCTCCCTTCTCGTCTTACAGTCATCTTATAATTGGGACAATAGGGCAATATTTAGAGCACCTGATCCAGTCTGTTTAATGAACTGGTCAAAATACCATATTTACTTGCATACCACCCTAAAAATCAACCTTCCAAAACTGGGGTGCCATGTCTTAAGCAGGGAAGCTGATTTTCATGTGCAGAAATGGAGGAGAAACATGGAGATGCTGCAAGATGGCTGCTATAATTCTTCCATTGCCAGCCTCATGGACCAAAGGGGGCAGATTTTACCCTCCAAGGTCAGAGCCAAGTGCTAACCTCACAGTCACAGCTGTTGCAGTTGGAGACTCCTGTAACACTTCTAAATTAGTAAGAGCAAAGCAGCAGTGCTTACCACAATCTTTGACATCACTTTCTGCATTTAAGTTTACTATCTTTGGTGTGGATTCCATATTTATATCATTCTTTTCAGGACTTGTGTGATTGTAGAAGTTGTGCAAGACCTGCAGGCCCAAATGTTAGACTATTAAGTGCCAAATAAGATACACTTACACTTTAGCATTTAAATGTTAGATGCTTTAATAATTTGCATATCATTTATACGTAGTCTCACAATAAAAATTTGCATCCATTCAAAAATAGAAAAAAGGTAAAAATATCAAATTAAGGTATATCCTGCTTTATCATGCTAAATTTTGCAAGTAATTAAATTGTAAAACTTCACCTCTTTTAAAACACATTGGAGACCCAGATGTGAAGACAAGGGAAAACCAAATATTTTACTTTTTGGCTGGAGACACATGAACAGCTAAGTAACATAACTATAATCAGATTCATGTCTTACCTTGGCAATTCTGTCATCGTGTTCTTTTGATCCAGACAGTGAATCATTTTCTTTAGCTGAAATTTAACAAGTAAATTTAAAAACAGAAAGTTATGCTTAATACTTAATGAGCAGTTTAAATATGCTAGATACTAGTTTAAAAACATTATGGGGAAAGATCTTTTTTTGCATTTACACTGAAGAGGGATTATCCATGTACTGAAAGCTTCGCCAAATTGCCTAATGGCAGAAATTTATGAAAATACTCTCAATGCCATAAAAAAAATTAGAACTTGAATATTTTAATCCCTTCTTGAAGTACTGACTGGATAGATGCCTTGTCAATAGCTCTAAATTGAATTTTAGCAATAAAAATGAAGTTAATATTAGAAAAAAAAATCTTAGCTGCTAAATATTTGTACACAATTGCAGAAATGTTACTTCAGTTATATTAAGCAACACCAAACAAGAACTTCTGCAGTTATAAAACATGTTTTAATGATAAATTTTCCAACTAACACAGTTTCATCTAAACGTACCCTAAAACCTTTTACAAACTGGTTATATAAATTAGGTATACTGATAATATACATGAAGAATGCTGCAGCTGTTCAATTTTGTATTAAAGCTACCAGGCCTCTTCTCCTGTAGACCAACCACTGTTGAGCATTTGTTCAACACTGAATTTAAACAACAAATGTAAGCTACCACATCACAACAGCATTTACTGCTGTATCTTTATGTTTTCACATACCATCCATTCAAGGACGTACTCAGTTTGGTCTTGTTTTAGCTTGATCTGCCAGAGGTAAGAGGTGATGTGGATATAGGCAATCATTATTCTAATTTTTGCTTCTATAAATGTTACTATGTTAATGCTGTCACAGAGGACACTATTTTATGCATCTTGAACCCTAACACAAAATGAACTAGTCTTAGAAAAACTAAGACCAAAACATAGTTTGGTTTTCAGTGATTTTGTTCAAAATCAACCTGCTGCAACTCGGTTATAGGCACCACATTACAAAAGATTAAATCATTAGATTAACAGGTAAGAATCCAGTTTATTTGAATAGAGGGTTTTCATCATATCTGGGACCATGGGAACATAACAGGAAGCTGGAGAGCATCAAAGTGAAACCCCGACAGGCAAAAAATGAGGTACAGAGAGCTACCAGACACTGTGCAAATTAGTACTGGATAGAGCTGCACTGATACATCAGTCCGATATTGGACTGGCACCAATATAAAGAAAATTGACTATATCGGAAATCAGCCTGATGTGGCCAATAATTTGGCCAATAAATGCCCATGTGTGCGTGCAGCTGCAGCACAGCACATAGGCGGCTAGGAGCAGAGTCTGGCAGCTCGGAGAACTACGTACAGCTGGTAAGTCTGTTGTGGTGGAAGGGGAGTGGGGAGGAAGGGGCGCGGTGCAGGATGGACCCATGGTTTGTCTGGGAGAGACGGGGAGGGGGAGCAGTGTGTGTCCCTGGATCTCTACAGGGTGGAGCTGGGAGGGCTACAGCTGCAGGCTGGGGCTGCACTGGGCTCTTCCCAGGAGGGGAGGGGGACCGGGGCTAGGCTGTGCTTAGGGTGGGTGGCAGCAGCGGTGGCACTAGGAGGGGGGGGAAGGGCTATGGTTGGGGCTGCAGCCACCCCAAATTTCGCCATAGCCCCCCTCTGAGCGCCACCGCTGCCCCCCACCCCCCAATCCCATGCCTACCCCAGCCTCACTCCCTCACCACAGGGAGTGCTGATCTGCCCCCATCCTCCCGTCCCTCTTCTCTCCCTTTCCACCACAACAGACTTACAAGGTGCATGCAGCTGTATCGGAAATTGGATTGGTATCAGCTGATATGTCTCCTTAAAAATCGGCTATCGGCACTGGCCCCCAAAATCTCTATCAGTGCACCCCAAGTACTGGACTCTGTGATGAGATACAAGCCTCAGACACAGGAAACCTAAAAGTCATGTACAACCATCTGAAGAAAGCTCTAGGTCCTACTGTCAACAAGACTGCCCCTTTCAAGTCATGCAGTGGTGAAGCAGTTACAGATAGAAGCAAGCAGACATCTCATTGGGTTGAATACTACTGTACTCACAAGAAAGAAACATCACCAGTGAATTACTGGACCAAATACCAACTCTACAGGTCATGCTAGAGTTAGATGTGGAGCCCACTGTAGAAGAGCTAAGCAAGGCCATTGATTCATTATCAAGTGGCAAGGCTCCTGGAAAAGACGGCATCCTAGCAGAAATTCTCAAGTGTGGGAAAGAAAGTCTATTACCATATCTTCATCAGCTGCTACTCAAACGCTGGAAAGAGGGTGAGGTACCACAAGACATGCATGACACAAGCATCACCACTCTATAAAAATTAAGGAGATAAAGGTGATCGCAACAACCAGAGGGGCATCTTGTAGTAGTCCAAAAGTTCAGCTACCTAGGTTCTATAGTGACTACCAACCTCTCACTGGATGAAGAACTTAATGTTTGCATCAGAAAGGCTGCCACCACCTTCAGCAGAATAACAAAAAGAATCTGGAAAACTCAAAGCTTACCATTAAGAGCAAAATGCTAGCGTACAAAGCTTGCATATTCAGCACTCATGTATGGTGAGGAAACATGGACAACTTGTTTCCAAAAGAAAAGATAAAATAGCTTCCACCTGTACTGTTTACACTGCATACTCAACATCAAATTACACTGCATACTCAACATCATATGGAAAGATAAAGTTACCAACGCAGAGGTTCTTCAAAGGGCAAATTTACCAAGCGTGACAGCCCTACTCAAACAGAGACAACTGCACTGGCTAGGCCACCTCAGCAGAATGGAAGATGAATGTATACCCAAGGCCATGCTAAACAGGGAACTACTGGAGGGTACAAAAACGACAGTACAGCCCAAGCTACTCTACAAAGACACATGCAAGAGAGGATATGAAGGCATTTAGAATTGATCCTGACCAATAAGAAACCTTGGCAAGTGATCAGAACAAATGGCATCATCATCTCCACTAGGGTATCAATGTCCATGACAGGAACTGGCTCCAACAGCTTGAAGAGAAAAGAGTCCATAGGAAGCAAGCAGCCCTCAAACCATCCACCCATGACACATACACTTGCAACCACTGCCACAGATCATGCAAATCTTGGATTGGACTATTTGATCACATGAGATACTGTACACCATCTATGCCATAGGCTGCAATATCCACCATCACTTGAAGATAAAAGGATGCCAACCATAAGACCCACTAAAAACAAATGCTTAACCCCAAGTCGTTATGCATTGATAGTATTACCTATTATTTCTGTTGCACCAAGGGTAGGTGGTGTGGCTAAAGAACTTGACCAAGACATATCTGGGTCCACCTCTGCTCCCAGACTTTCAGAAATACATTTTGGTGTCTTGACCTAAAAACATACCAAATAATATTTTTTTACAATGAATTTCAAAAACACCTCTCAGAAACTAGCACTTGGAAATAAAATGCTTACCTCCAACAGCTTAGGTGAGCAAAATAAGCTTCCATATGCCACTGAAAAGCAAAAATGAATCAAAACATTTAAGTCATCTATTACCTCTAGAAGTTATTGGATATTTTCATTAGTAGGAGGCAGAGAACAAATATACACACCAGGAACCATATTTTTCTGTGGTGTTCTGAAACTACTTCTTAAAACTGGTGACCTATACAGGCAAAAACAAGGAAAAAATTATCATTGTTTATTAATAGAAAATGGTAAGCATTCCTAATAGATAATATGCACCACCAAGCATAACTACCTGTCATAAAATTGCATTTGTAATTTAAGGCTAAGTGCAGACGTTCAAAAAGTCCACGTATAAAGCACTCCATTGCATTTTATTAGAGCGTGTTCTAACTTAACAGATGTTCTGTTTGGTGGGGGGCCTCGGTGCCTGCTGGCACTCAGGTCAGCAGCTGGGGGGTGCTTCCACACACCTCCCAGGAGGCTGCTGGAATGTCTCCACCCAGTCCAGCCCTCCCAGCCAGCTGGGGACTGTGAGCAATTGGCTGGAGGGGGAGAAGGGAGGTTCACTTCAAGAGGGGTGTAGATAACCTGGAAAGGGTTCAGAGGAGGGTCATCCATCTGGGAAAAGGCCTACAGGAAAAACCCTAAAAGGACCAATTGAGGGACCTGAATCTCTTCAGCCTCCACAAGAGAAGGCTGAGAGGTGATCTTGTGGCTGTCTACAAACTCATCCAGGGGGGCACAGCAGGAAATAGGGGATACGATGTTTACCAGGGCGCCCATCAAGGTAACTAGAAACAATGGCCAAACTGAAGGAGAGCAAATTTAGATTGGACATCAGGAAAAAATTCTTTACAGTGAGGGTTGCCAAAATATGGAATACACTTCTAAGAGAGGTGGTGCTATCCCCTTCCTTGAGGGAATTTAAGAGGAGATTGGACAAACACCTGGCTGGGGTCATCTGAACCCAGCCCTCTTTCCTTTCCAGGGAAGGGGGTCAGACACGATGATCTAACAGGTCCCTTCCGACCCTAAAAATCTATGGAATTTATATACAGACTGTACTGATTGAAATCTGATATCTAAGCTGGTGGTCACTTGAAATTAACATACTTCACTAAGCATGCCTGTGCCTAACCTGAAATACTTTGGCTTGATTTGAAAAAAATTCTAGAAAAACAGAATATTACAAGGAATCAATGAACATTTAGTCATTAATTTATTTGGGAAAGGAGTTCTTTTTTAGCATATGATACTAATATATTGCAGGTACTATTTAATGGTCATTATTTTAGCTTCTACAATCCTTATCATTTGATACAACGTCAACTAACATGTCTTATGCAAGCTATACTATAGCTTAATTAAATGAAAAGTAAAATATTTTAATCAACAGCATAAGAGTTCAACCAATTTAAAACAAGGGTAAATTAAAAATGTAGCAGACAAGTTCCAATTCACTCAGCTAGATGCTATAATATTACATACACACACACGCGCGCGCACTTTACAGGATATAACAAGATTAATCTCTGTTCTAAAACTTCATATACGTCTCCAGGTCTGTTGTAACCTAATACAGTTGCAATATAATTTGAATTTAAATAAGTACTTTACTTAAAAATTCTTTTATGGGAAGAAGTTAATTAATTCATTTTTAGAAAAGCTAACATTCTTAACGTACCTTGTATTGAGGCAAGTATCAAAACGAGAGAGAGATATTTCATTTGCTTGATCCACTTTTGTCTTCATAATACATGGGCTAGTTCTATGTTCTTTATTAGCCAAACTCTCTTTGCCTGCAATATTTGCATACATAGTACAATAAATCAGCCACATCCTAAATATCTGCATGGAATTATTTTGATTTTTGCAGACTAATTTTTTAAACAAAACAACAACAAAGCACAAATACCAGTTTCTTATATTTCTAAAAATGACACCATAAATCAGTAGCTTTCAAACTGTGTTCCAAGATAGTCATGAGAGGTTCTGCAAAGAGACTAGGGTTAATGACAGAGTGGGTCAAGGGGTGGTACACTGCCATTGCCAGGTTGGGTCACCTGGCGCTGCCTCAGCTCACAGGGCACCTTATACACATGACAGAGCTCTGCTCCAACACGTGTTAATTAGCACACATCAGAAAAGACTGGATCAATCAAGTCTGCTGGAGTGTGCTAATTAGCATGCTCCAGTAGCCTCCGCGACACCTGTATGTAGCGTCCCTATTTTTCAAAACAGCACCGGGGGCGCTTTAATTTAACTAAAGTTCCTTCAATGAGCTTGAAGTTCCCCTGCTGCCATTTTGAAGTGCAGGACACTGAATACATGTGATACTGTGGGCACAAGCAACTCTCAGAGCTGCTCTAATCATAGCACCTCCCTCCCTCCACCCTAGAGCACATGTATAGAAACCCACAGTGGTTCCATGGCAGCAGTGGCATGAACAGTTCTGTCACTGTAGGAAGTTTGAAACTGAATGCTGTAAAAATCAGTCAGACCATGTTTCATGGGTGGGGTCCTCCAGGAGGGCCGTGATCTCCTCAAGGCCCCTTTCTCCGTGTCAAGTCAGCCCAAGGGCACCCTCTAATTCTTGCCCATCACATCTTTGATGTTTAGATAAGTTTGGGAGGCTGCCTTACACCCTCTTGGTCACTTCTTGGTGTTGGTTCAGACCCCGTGGTTTCCCAGGCCCCTTATGGGTTCTCACTCTATGATGGGTGCTTCAGGGACACCCTAGCCTTAGGGGCTATGCGTGGCTCCAACCCCCCCTTATACCACGCCCCAAGCCTCGCTGCTGGAATAGACGTTGGTCTGTCAAATATACACTCGCCCTCTCTGGGGTCCCCTCCGTAGTGCTGCCCTCTCTCAGGGATGCTCTGCAGCGCCGCCCTCTCTCTGGGGCCTTCGCAATAATGCCGCCCTTCTCTCCAGGGCCTTCTCCACAACACTGCCCCTTTCGATAATACTGCCCCCTTCTCTGGGGCTCCTCAGTACTGCTGCCCTCTCTCAGGGCCTTCTTAAGTGCTGCCCCCTTCTCTGGGGCCTTCTCAAGAATGCCGCCCCTCTCCTGGGGCTCTCCGTGCCCACACTGGGCCTTCTCAGTAAAGCCCCCCCGTCTCTCGGGGCTCACCGCACTGCTACCCCCTTCCTCCGGGGCTCACCGCACTGCTACCCCCTTCCTCCGGGGCTCACCGCACTGCTACCCCCTTCCTCCGGGGCTCACCGCACTGCTACCCCCTTCCTCCGGGGCTCACCGCACTGCTACCCCCTTCCTCCGGGGCTCACCGCACTGCTACCCCCTTCCTCCGGGGCTCACCGCACTGCTACCCCCTTCCTCCGGGGCTCACCGCACTGCTACCCCCTTCCTCCGGGGCTCACCACACCCGCACTGGGGCTTCTCAATAGTGCCCCCTCTCTGGGGCTGGGGTCTATGCACCCCGTATGAGACATCCTAGAGCTGCCATCCTTTACCCGGCTTGAGCTGTACCTGCGGTCAGGCTTCTTCTCGTATCTTTGCTCCAGGAGCTCCTCTCTCTCTCGCTGCTGGCAGGGAACTGCCCTGGCCTCAGCTCCTGGGCTTTATAAGAGCCAGGCCCTGCCCCTTACAGCTAGCTGACCGCTGGCAGGTGTGGGTCGTTTGCCGACTCCAGTTGCCCTGGCAACCAACAGCTGGACTCCTTATTCACTGCTAGGGCTTTTTCTCTAGCAGTTTCTCCTCTTTAGGAGCAGGGCACCTCAGTGCTCTACGACACCATGTTCAAATGCTATGTCAAAATGACAATACTAAAAATAATCTAAATGTATAACAAAAACTCCTATGAAATTTATCAGCCTTGTTTAATTAACATTTATTTCAATTAATTCCTATGTATTTTCCATAATATAAGATACAATATCACCACTCTGTTTGTTACTACCAGAGAAGAGATTTTTGCAAAAGCTCCCCTCCACCCCAAAATCACCTTTACATTTATTTTGTCAGCATCATCTCAAGTCTGTACAAGCAACCATTTTCTTGGGTTGAGTGAACAATTATAAAGAAAGCATTTGTGGTATTATGGATGAAGCCCAAACAGTACTTTTTATACTGTAAGTGTCCCTTGAACAGTTGAGTGTCTGGAAACAGTAAGTGAAAAAGCGCTTTCACCTTGGGAAATGGAACTGGACTTAGACACCCCAGATTGATGTGCAGTTACTCACAGGAACTGTCCTACTGATTCCAATCAGATTGCTTTCAGACTGCTCGTTAAGTAACTGTTCATACATGAAAATAAGGGGCTCATAATAAAAAGCTGTATTCAAATGTACTGTAAAGACTGATATTCAAAAACAATAAAAATAACCCTTTATAACAGGGATGCTTAAACCCCAGTAGATGGCCCTGTGCCATCCAGCCTGCAGGGCTCCCAATGGGTCCAGAAGTTTGGCAGTAGAAAAGCAGTGGCACTGCTCCTCCACCACCAAATTTCCAGATTTATGGGGAATCCTGGGCCTCATGCACTGGATCAGGCACTCAATCCCAGAGCAGAGGGCTGAGCAGAGGCAGTGCTAGACCCCCAGCACATGGTGGGTGGGAGGGGAGGTGCCAGGCCTCAGGGTCTGATTGGTGTGGGGAGCTGGGTGGGAGCAGTGCTGGGCCCCAGGGTCCCAATCCTAGTGTGGGGGGCTGGGCAGGGGCGGTGCCAGGCTTCTGGGACCCAATCTCAGCCCCCTGGGGTGGGAGGCAACAGTGCCAGATTCCTGGGGACCAAGCCCAGTACGTTGAGGTGGGAGATGATGGTGCTGGGGGCCTCCTGGGGCTGCAGCCACAGCAATCCTGCCAAGTGAAGTCTGGGGGTGGCCCAAAAGGTGGCCCAGCTCCGCTCTTCAGCAGCGCATGCTGCCCAAGTGTGCACTGCTTCATTTCCCACCCCCTGCAGTTTTTTGGGGGTTTTTTTGACTCCTGGATATCCTGGGGTCAAAAAAGCCCTCAGCCAAAAAAAAAACCCAAACAAACCCCAGAGCAGCACACGGTCAGGCAACACGCCCTTGCAGTGTGGAGAACACTGGACTGTGCAGTATGTGACACTGCAAACATGTTTGCGGTGCCACACCTCCCAACCACGCTTGTCTGGACGTGCCCATAGAGCTCATCTTCATGAGCA